AGTACATGCTCTGGTGGCCTAGTGACAGGAAGGAGTGCAGTAATCCCAAAGGTACGAAGATTCAAGTCCACCAGCTGCTCCGCAGGAAAAGAATGGGGACTCTCTTCCAATTAACTGCTTTTGAAAACCTGCCAGAGGCTCAGCTACAGATCAGTTCTGACTCAATCGTGCATAACAACAACAATCAGAATTCCTCTTTGAAGTCCTGAGCAGGGTGCCATGTTGAAGACTGTACCTGGAGGCCCATTAGAAACAGAGTCCTTTTAGACGTGTGGTAGAAGTGGTTGGCCTGTATAGAGGGCTCTGCCCAGGGGTGAGGAAACCTAAAAACTTGACTTGTAAGCATTAGAATCACTCAGATGAGTTGCTCATTTTTTAACAGATTGATTCGTATCAAGGCCACTTGAGCAGCTGAGGTACAACCCCCACTACAGTGGGAGGCAGATGGAAGGATGGCTAACCCTTCCCTAGTTGCTTAAGCATTTTTAGATGAAGCAGTTACGCTTGCATCAGTGAAATGTTAATGGTGCAAAAGCCACCGCACCCCCATCAATCTGGTTTTCTGGTTGGTTTTTTGCTCTCCTAGAAGCTCTTGAAAGGGTAGGGCTCATGTCTGGCAGTTCACAGGGGTTTTTCCAATGTCTAGTACATGCCTGGTCCATCAGGTCCTTCATACAGTAGAGTAGACATGTAAATCCCCTTGCTGAGGAAACAGCTTTATCTGGCTATGTGCCGTCCAGTGGGTTGTGATGCAGCAGCTCTGTGATAGAACTTCCCCCTTGCCTTTTCTATGCTCCCAATCTTTGTGGGAGCAAATCTCCCGGTCTTTATTTCCACTGCATAGCTTGGTGTCAAACTGCTGACCTTCAGTTAATAATCAAATGCTTAATCATCGTGCAGCCAGGGCTCTTACTTCCATGCTGGCCCTTGCTTCTCTGATTTGTACATACAATATTTTATTTCTGTGGGGTTTTTCCCTTACAGCCTGTGAGCTCCTGATGAACAGGTGCCTTCGTGTTGTTCACTCTAAGCCCTCCTGCCAGGCCAGGCTAGAGTACGTGGTGCTTAGTAAGATGGGATCACCCCGACTGTGGCAACACTGTCTGCAAACTGGTTTACTTCAGATAAAACCACCAAGTTTATAAAGGGAGAAATTGTTTAGTTACCACTGAGTCAGTTATGACTCACGGTGACCATATGAACATCTGTACTGAGCCCAGTCCTGCACCATCCTCATGATTTCTGATGTGCTCAAGTTCCTTGTCACAGTCGCTATGTCAGTCCATTTTGTTGAGGGGCGTCTTCTCTTTCTCTGACGCTCCATCTTTCCCAGCATGATATCTTTTTCCATGGACTGACTTCTGAAAACATGCCCAGAGTATGTGAGACACAGTTTCACCATCCTTGCCTCTAAGGAGCACCTTGATTGCTGTCCTTCCAATATAGATTTGTTTGTTCTTTTGGCAGGTCATGGGATGTTCAAAACTTCACCAGTACCACAATTCAAAGGCTTCGATGATTCTTCTGTCATCCTTATTCACTGTCCAACTTTCGGAAGCATAGGAAGCCACTGGAAATACTATGGCTTGGGTCAGGCACTCCTTGCTCTCTAAACTGGCATTCTTCCTCCTTAGGACTTTGGAGAGGTCCTTGACAGCAGATTTTCACAGTGCAACACGTCGTGGTTCTTGACTGCTGTTACCAAGGGATTCAAGTAAAATGAATTAAAAGTATATAAACAATGCTTATATAAGAAAAGTCTGGGGGGAAAATATGGTTAATTAGGCCTCATTTTGGTGTTGGATAAGTAGAATTCACCCAAATGTATGGAAAATGTGCAGATGATTGTTGGAAAAACACTCTCTGCTTTGAGAGCAGATTCCTGAGGGGAGCAGACGAGTAGATGGGTGATCCCAAAGAGGGATCACTGAGCCAGCTTTCAGGCTCTTTTTAGTCTAGCTGATGAGGAAGATGACAGCTACCCCACAAAGTGAAGATGAAGCCCAGCTCCTCCCCAGCAGCAGCCCGCATGCCTAACGCAGCACTTCCCAGACTTCTCACACAGCATTTTTAGTTAGTATGGAATGCTAACAGACACTTTGGATTTAAGTCAACAACAAAGCCTGGCTTCACAGATTGGTTTCTTTCTTTCTTTTTTTTTTCTATAATTATATTTTATTAATTTTCATAAACATTTACAGAGATTTTGGGTTTCCATTCATTCATTGTGGCACTATTCTCTCTACCCTCCTCCCAGTTTGTTCTTGTCCAAATGTCACAGTGCTTGTCAAAGCCAGTTCTGATTAATCTTCTTTGTCAGTGTGTCCTTTGCCATTCCCTATCACTCCTCCCTGAGAGAGACTTCACCCTGAGTCATAAGGAAAAGGGGATGGCGTATTCTCTTAGCTACTTCCTGCTGAAAAGGGACGCTGTGGGTTTCAGGGTGAAGATCTTCTCTCACTACTCTAAAGGGCCCCTTTGGCAGTAGGAAACACATAGACTATTATGGAGATTGATTTTGGAATTTAGATACACTCTTATTGATTGTGCTTGGCCGTACATGTTTATATCCTTGAAGATGTATCATGGGGGTGTTGCAACCTAGAAGACACAAATTTGACTAACAAGTTATAAGTACATGAGTCAAAAATTATGGAAAAGTAAAAGAAAAGATTCTTTCATTGTTTTGCAAACCGTCCCCCAGGTCCCCTCCACCATGTAGCCCTCGCTCTAGACTCCTGTGATGACAGAAATACCTAGTTATATATCTCTTTTAAACAGTTTTCTCCCTCCTCTGTTTCAGTGCAGTATACATTATTGAACCCATCTTACTCAGTCTCTCCCCAACCCCAAGGACAGTCCCATTCTACAACAGTGGCATCATGTAATATTTGTCCTTTTGTGACTGGGATATTTCACTCAGCATAATGTTCTCCAGAATCAACCATTTTGAATAATAGTGCATGAGTTCCTTGTTTTTTAATGCAGCATAGTATTCCATTGTGCGACTATACCACAGCTTCTCTAGCCATTCGTTTGTTGATGGGCACTTAGGTTGTTTCCAACTCCTTGCTATTGTGAACAAAGCTGCAATAAACATGGGTGTGCACACAGATTGGTTTCTGTACAAAAAGCCTTGACTCACGCTTTTGCTCTTAAAACTCTGTGAACAGAATGAGTGAGTGAAAAGCCAATTTCTTTGTAAACTTTTATTCATATCACAATTAAAAACCCCTAAGACCCTGTGCAGTAAACAGTAAATTATATGTCAAATGCTTTTTTCCTTCTTCATTTTAAAATTTTTATTAAATTTTATTAATTTTAATGAACATTTACAGAGATTTTGGATTTCCATTCTTTCATTGTTGCACTATTTTCTCTACCCACCCCCCAGTTCATTCCTCTTCTTTTTTTCTCCCCTTGAAAGTCTGTTTTAATTGTCCCATTGCCACAGTGCTTGTTAAAGTCAGTTCTGACTAATCTCCTTTGTCAGTGTGTCCTTCGCCATCCCCTATCACTCCTCCCTGAGAGAGACTTCTCCCTGATTCATAAGGATCTTTTAAGAATACGAAAGATGCTTGATAATCTTGAAGGAAAACAGCATGCTTTATTTAAGCCAGGCTTTTGCTACATAATTTGACCAACAATAATCACCTAGAATTTAAAACTATGATTATACAATACATCTTAGGGGAGAAAATACTGTAGCATCTTTTCATCTTTTTTTTAAAAGTATAATGATATGAAGATTTTGTAGAACTCTGATGTTTCTTTACACCCTATTTCAGTGTATGAACATTTGCTAAGAACCTTCTCCAGTGTGACTACAGTATCCTTATCAAATTCAGGAAGTGAATAAACTGTCAAGTCAGGAGGGAGTTCTGGTGGCACAGTCTATGAGGAGTTGGGCTGTTAACCTCAGAGCTGTGCCCCTCTGGTGGTTCAAATCCACTGGCAGCTCAGAGAGCGAGATAGTCAGTTTACTCCTGTGTGATTTACAATTCCAGAAACCTCATGGTGAGTCAACTATGAGTCAGTTTTGATGCAACAGCAGTGAGTTTGGCTTTTTTGGGATCTAGTCAGTATCAATAATATCTATAGTTCATGTTTCAATTTTACTGATTGTCCTAGTAATGTTTTTATAAAGAAAGGCTTTTTTTCCTGGTCCTACATAATGCACTGCATTTAATTAGCATCTATTTAGCCATCTTTAATCCACAGCAATTCTTCAGCCTTTCTATTTTTCGTAAGACTCCAGCTGTATTAGAACGGTCCTCAGGTTGATCCTTTAAGTTTTGTTTTTTTGGATTTTTAAAAATTATTTATTTTAATGAAAAGTTACAGAGACTTTGGATTTCCATTCATTCATTGTTGCACAGTCCTTTTATTTTTTTAAAAATAAAATTAACAAAAAAAGCTGGTTTTTAAGTTCCTTTTAGGTGAGGTTGGTACCAGCGGCACCCTTGCCGAGTCCTTGACCTTGTGCTTGTTGTGAGGAGGAGTAATCTGGGACAAAACCAGGTCCTTGCTCTTGGAACCTTAAGTTTGGGTTTGATGGGAAAGTATTTCCTGTTTTGTGGCCTGGAAAGGCTCTGCATGTGATCATGGTTAGGAGTAGGTTGCACTGGTATTGTCAGGCTTGGGCAGATGCATGTTAAGTGGGTACAGCATGAGCCACCATTCTAGAAGTCTATAAAGACAGAAAACAGAGCAACTCCCCATTTAACAAAGTCATCAGCTCTGGCCTCCCAGGGTATCCAGAAGTATACACCCCAAGGCGGGAGGGACATGTTTCTTCTCTAGAATTCTCAAGCTGCAGCCCTGTGTGTAGTGCTGCTTGACCACATATCAGTGCAAGGACCTTGGGCTAATAGTCCTCTTTTCCCCGTAGTGGGGAGAAGAGTCACTTCATGTTTCCACAAACTACTCTAAGAACTCAGTAGGGAAGAAAGAGGTCCGTGACTGAGGTCCGACCTGGTAGAAGACAGACCTGGTGCAGCATGTCCCTGGGCTGGCCGTTGACAAAGGTAAGTAGACAGAGTGGTTTTCATTGAGATTGGGCAGGAAATCACATTTAGGTGATTTGTCAGCTGTTTAACTTCTCCACTGAGTATTGTGCAAGTTGAAAATGATAAATTATGAGCCCTATTCAAAACCTTGTAGAATCAGGGAACTATTATGTTAGTCATTGATATTTTGTTAGACCAAAGCAGAAAATGCAAAAAATAAAACATGTCATAAATAAAATGTCATAAAACATTGCCTTAAAGCAAGCTTTTAATGTGAGAAACAAATTAAAATTGGTTTCTATCTGGTCATTAAGTCAGTACCCTGGTCCACGTTTTGTTAGCACCTCATTGCTCTTCCTGAGAAGGCAGACATCATGTGAGGGAGAGGTACAAGCTCTCACATCTGTATCTTTTTTTTTTAACTTTAATAAGCAATTTATTCTCTTACAATTTAGGAGGACAAAAGTACAAGTTCAGAATTCAGACTTTAGGGGAAAGCCCTTCCTCTCTGTTAGCTATGGCACGGGGTCTTTATTTCTTTAACATTTGTGGACCTGGCTTCCACTGGAGTTTTCCATGTGTTCTGGTTTTTTCTAATGTCAAAGCATTTTGTTCAGGAGCCTGGGTCCAAAAAGATACCCTCCATTCCTGGCTGTTCTTTCTTGGTTGTACTAAGGGCCCTCCACCTCACTTTCCTCCCTTTTTATCTCTAGTGAAATGTTGTTAAGAGCGATTGAATTGACTGTGACTCATAATGACCCTATGAGCAGTGGATCTGAACGCTGCCCTGTCTATTCTGTGCCATCCTCATCACCTCTGCCACACTGGAGTCCTTTGTTGCATCCACTCTATTAATATATCTTGTTTTGAGAGTCTTCTCCATCTTCTGACCTTTTCAAGCAAGCGTGGTGTTTTTTTCCAGGGACTGGCCCCTCATAACAACATGCCCAAAATATGTGAGATGAAGTTTTACTATCCTTGCTTCTAAGGTACACCCTGGTTGCACCTTCTCCAAGACCTATCTCTTTGTTCTGTTGACAGTCTATGGGACATTCAGTCCTCACCAACACCACAACTCAAAGACATCAATTCTTTGATCATTCTTATTCACTGTTCAATTTTCAGATGCATGGCAAGTAATTGAGAAGACTATGACTTGGGTCAGGTGCACCTTAATCTTTAAACTGGCCTCCTTGCTCTTCAGCTTATTCAGCATTGGAGATGTCCCTGACAGCTGATTTTTCCAATACAACATGATTTTGATTTCTTAGTTGTTGGTATCAAGGATGTTGATTGTGGATTCAAATACGATGAAATCGTTGACAGTTTCTCTCATCTCCATGTATCATAATGCTGCATATGGCCCAGTGGTGAGAATTTTTCTTTTCCTGATGTTGAGATGTAGTTAATAAAGAAGACTTTGATCTCTGATAGTTTTTGATCTTCTGCAGCAAACATTTCAAGTCTTATTTCAGCAAACAAGGCTCTGTTGTCTGCATAACGCAAATGTGTCTTTTTTCAATCCTGATATCACGTTATTCTTCATAAAACCCAGCTATAGATCTTGAGCTGGACAATACAGATTGAACAAATATGGAGAAAGTACAGTCCTGATGCACCTTTTCTGATCTTAAACCATGCAGTGTTTCCTTGCTCTGTTCAGACCACAGCTTCTGAACACAGTTAAGTGTTCAAAAGCCACAACCTAAGGGTTGTGATAGGATTGGGGAGAGTTGTTTTCTACCCTTAATGCTCTTATTATTATTATTATTATTATTAATTTCAATGAACATCTACAGATATTTTGGAATTCCATTCATT